CCAACACAAGTTAATCAATTTAAGCAATATTAACAGATCAACAAATTAAACGTGCAATATCCAACAATCAGTTCAGTTAATCAATCAAAATACCATTAAAATATATACAACTAAGGCCTTAGGCTTTGATACCACTGTAAGTATATCAATGGGGTAAACGCAACGAAAAACAAAATATTTTCCATCGATTACTCTTATTCGCTCAAAATCAGTATATATATATTACATCCATGCCTCCTCCCTGCCTCTGATACAACACATTTTTGTTGGTTAAAGTTTTCTAATGGTTTAGTTGTTTCAAAAACAAAAATAAACCTTTTCCAGATAAGGATCCGATTTTTAGGACAAATAATCTACAATGGTACAATTATACCTATTAAAAGATCTATTGAATTTGGTAAAAAATTATCTGATGTCATCATTGATAAAACTCAGTTACAAAGATTCTTAGGAAGTCTTAATTATGTAATGGACTTTTATCCTAAACTTATTCAAATTTGCAAACCTTTATATGAAAGGTTGAAGAAGAATCCAGCATCGTGGACAAACCAATATACTAATACAATCTGACAGATTAAAGACCAAATCACCCATTTACCATGTTTGCATTTAGTAGACCCATTAACCTTCAAAATAGTTGAAACAGATGCCTCAGATTTAGGGTATGGAGGTATTATGAAACAAGTATAGATAACAAAGAACAAGTTATCCAATTTACTTCCAAATTTTGGAATGAAACTCAACAAAAATACTCCACTATCAACAAGGAGATTTTATCCATTGTCCTATGCATTTCCAAATTTCAAAGTGATTTACTCAATCAAAATTTTTTACTTTGTATTGATTATCAAACTGCTAAACATGTTTTACAAAAGGATGTTCAAAATATTGCATCAAAACAAATTTTTGCAAGATGACAAGCAATTTTATGTGTGTTTGATTTTGACATTGAATACATCAAAGGAGAAGCTAATTTCCTGCCTGACTTCCTCACCAGGGAATTCCTTCAGGGGAGACAACCATCATGCCTCCCAAAAAGATCAATCCTCCAATCACTCAAAAACAATCAAAGGCTTCTTATGCCCAAAAGCCCACAAACACCAAATCATGGTATGAACTCGTATGTGAAGAAGAAGCCCAAGAAAGGGCCCAACAATCAAAAGGAAAAGGCATAGCCTCAACAAACTCTTCTCAGAGCCCAACAAATACAGAGCAAATCCAGAATTGGATAAACTCTTTTAAGCAAAGTCCAGAAGCAACCTTAGCTATGATTAGGTTAACACCAAATTTACCAAAAAATGATATTTTGAAATTTAAAAAACCTCAAACTCTTCCAAAAAATTCCCAAGGATTTTCCGAATGTGAAAAATTTTCACTAAGCACATTGCAAAAGGCAGCTCAAATTGCTCTTTCAAAAAACAAAGAACTTGTTCCCGCAGCTACACCATTAAAAACCTTTAAACCAGGACAAAAATATATTCAAAAAGGAATTGCAACTAATCTTTTGGTTTTCGAAGAAGGATATGATTTTGAAAACCCTAAACAATTAGTTCAACAAATTTTTCCAAAAATTTTTCATTTTATCCCTGAAGATTTAAGGAAAACTCAAAATTTTTATGAATTTCTTCTTACTGATTCTGACTCTTGTGAGTTTAAACACTATGAGGATAAAACCAACCAGGATTTATCACTCATTCAACCTTCTATATTATGAAAATCCTTAGTCCTTCTGATTGGGGATTCAACCCAAACCAATTCAAAAAAATTTCCCAAAATTTTGACCCGTTTGGATATAATTACTGGGACTATCAAAGGGCCTGGAACAGATCACTCTTTCTCCAAAATAGTCATCACAGGCACTCCTAGATGATTTACTTCAAAAGGAACACTTTATTCAAATTTCCCAATTGGTTTTCCCAATGGTGGGATCATTTTGGATTAATTCTCGAAATCCTACCCCCAACTGTCCGTGAAGGATTCAATGAGTTCAAGCTCAGGTTCAAAGTTTCCGAAGCAGATTCAAACTTCCCTCCATCACTTCATTTCTCACCAAAGTTCCACCTCTCGTGGATTTTACAATAGGAATATGAAATTGTCCAAAATATTAGCAATCTCCCTAATTTGATCTGGAAATTTAAAGTTAAGTGGTGGGATAAATTTGATGCATCCCACGTGTCAGAAGAAAAAATTCAACTTTGTCTCTCAAGTTCACCTCATCAAACTCAGGCAATTACCCCTGAAATTGCCAATTTTTTACAGAAAAAGACTGTGGCATCAGTATCCTTAGCAGGAGCCAAGACAAAACAAGAACTTAAAGACCACCTCAAGACTATTCTTTCACAAATCCAAGATGAAGAAGAGGAAGCAGAAGAAGAAGATGGAGAAGAATCTTACCGAAGCTCTAGTGCCTCGGTCAATCTCGCACAGAGCAATGAAGATGATTGTTATGGAATCATCTAACTTATTCTAAACAGTTCGAAATTACCGCTTTTCTCAAAAAAAGGATCATAAATTTTATTAATGGCTTTTAGGAGGAATTCTTGGTCTTTGGTTAAGACATTTATTTCATTTTCATTGGAGGTTTCAATTTCATCAATTTGGTTGTCGTCAAACATTTCTTTTTCACTTGAATCAGAATCAGAGGACTGTATCACGATCATTTCAATTTTATGTATGAGCTCATCATCAAGGCTTAATTCTCTAATTCCTTTACTAATTTTACAATATCTAGCGATATGACCCTGTTTACTGCATCTAAAGCACGTGAATTGTTTTGTGGGTTTGTCTGTTTTAGAAAATTTGCTTTGTTGAAAAGGTTTTTCTCCTAAATGTGGGTTTGTATGTATGGTTCTTATGATTATTCATGGTTTTATTACGATTATTCATGGTTTTATCACATTGACCTTTGCAGGTTATTGTTTTTCTTGGTTTTCTTTCCTTTAAAAGAATTTTTGTGATTATTGTCAAATTGTTGACAAAAATTTCCTAATTCTTTTCCTAACTGTTTTCTCTCTTTTTGCCTTTGGTAGGCGAGTTTTTCATCTTTGCAAATTTTCATTCTAACTTTCTGGACAAAACTATGTAATTGTCCATAAGTTAAATTGTCATATGGTATAGTACCATCAAATTGTTTCCTAATTTTTTCTCTAACCTTTTTAGCTAAGATGTTGGGTAAACCGGCCAAAAAGTTAACCTTCCAATAGGCTTTGTTACTATCAACCATTTGCATAACCCTAACAAAAAATGTTTTTTTTATACCATCTATAATCAAGAAGGGTTTTGCATTTTAAGTTCATTAGTGTAGCTTGACTTTTGTCTTTTACGTTTGCAAGATCCCCTACAAAGTGGAGAGTTATCGCAAAAATTAAGGTATTAATAGCATCCTGAATTTCATTACCATCTTCAATCAAAATTGATGCAAAATTGGTATTCCATTATCATCAATTTTGATTGCGGTAAGAATTTCACTTTGGTTTTGTTCTTGTAGGTGGCTATCACACCAGGATTTGAGAGAGCCAATGAAGCCAACTACCAACAAGTGGGCTATGGCTTGGTCTGTTGAACTATGTTTAGTCCTATAGGCATTACTAACCATAGTCATTTGTTGTAAGACCATAATAATATTATAATCAGACATGCCATCTATGTTCCATTCATAGATAGAATTGGCATTGTATTTTCTTTGCTGTATTTGAGAGGATTCTTCCAAAACTAAATTTGGGGCTGAAGCTCTTGGATAATACATTTTCGGAGGTTTTTTCCAATTCATGTTATTGATTTGAATAGAATTATCACTTGAGGAAGTATTTTGATCATCAGTTTTTGATGATTCTGATGAATATGTTTTACCAATAAAATTTATATGTTTAGAAGTTTGGGGGGTGTCTGGTGCGATAACATTAGAGAATTCTTCTTTTATCTGGTTGAGTTTTCTATTTATTTCTTGCATAAATTCTTCTTTATTGGTTAAAGTTTTAGTGTGTTTTGGAGGGATTTCATGTGGAATAATAAAAGGTGTTCCCTCTGATAAATAAAGGTGTTTCCTGGCTCTGATAAAGAAACATTTTTTTTGTTAGGGTTAACTCTATTGAGACTTGATAATTTTCTTTCTTTGTAAATATCTGTTACCGAAATTTTGGGAATGTTCCATTTATCAAAATGTTTTTGTAAATCTTGAGGTCTTATGATATGTTTATCTTTTTGTGTACAAGCATGACTTGTTTCAATTATGTTGTCATTTTGATTTATACAAATCTCTTCTTGTTGAACACTCTGTTCATCTCTAGTATTTGAACTGGAAGTAGACATTGGTCTAGAAAAGTTTTCCATTTTGTAAATCACCTATTTCTTTCCTTACAGCGATTGATCTAAGGGACTTACCACAGTTAAAACCTACAGCCCTACACAACCCAAAATGACTCGGTACTCAAAATAATTAATAAATAAAATTTAACTATCCTAAATCCCTGCTTCCTCCCTGGCTCTTATACCAGAGGGAACACATTTTGTTTTCTCTCTTTTTGCCTTTGGTAGGCGAGTTTTTCATCTTTGCAAATTTTCATTCCAACTTTTTTTGGCAAAACTATGTAATTGTCCATAAGTTAAATTGTCATGTGGTATAGTACCATCATATTGTCTCCTAATTTTTTCTCTAACTTTTTAGCTAAGATGTTGGGTAAACCGGCCAAAAATATAACCTTTCAATAGGCTTTGTTACTATTAGGCATTTGCATAACTCTAACAAAAAATGTTTCTTTATACCATCTAAAATATTGAAGGGTTTTGCATTTTAACTTCATTAGTGCAGCTTGACTTTTGTCTTTTACGTTTTTGGAAATGCATAAGACAATGGATTATTATCCAGAAAGTTTTAATCATCTAAATCAAAATACATAATTAAAACAGAAGAAAAAACTCTTAAGATAAACAATTCTACTCAAATAACTCAATTATTATCTAAGGAAATGGTTAAAAAATATAAAAAAAAGTTATAATTATCTTCATATAGGACTTGTCCGAATAGGAATCAAACCTCTAAGCATTGAAGGCTTGGACACTGCCATCTTTGCATGTTTAAGATATTGTAGATGGCTGAGATTTAGAGATTCTCTACTAGGAACAATAGAATCCAGCCTGTCCAATGGACCAATTTATTTCAATTGTTATCCTGATTTCACAGTCTACTTAGATGACCAAAATATACTAGACGTTTTAACTTTAAATATTAAAACGTTTAATTATGACTTAAAATCGGGAACCATCCCTATAGCAGCCATTTATAGGATTCAATATAAAGTAATGCAATCAGCTTTTGAAACTAGAGCCATTAATCATGACCAAAAAGGCCACATAGTGTTATTTCAAGCTGATCTAACAAGATCAAATAGAACAGTAACTAAAACAATCAATCGAGGCCAAATAACTTTACCAGAGGATTGGAGATTAGCTAACGCAGTCATTCCTTTAGAAATGAGAATTCCTAAACCTTTAACCCAACCAATCCAAAATACAGAAATCGAAAACATAACTAAAAATTCTGATGAAAGTGTTCGAATTAGGTTTAGTAGGCCTCCAATAATAAGTTTTGATGACTCACACTTATTCTCATATAGATTAAATCCCAAAGAACCTCTTGAACAAAGAAGATTTTCTTGTTTAGTAAGATACCCCCCTAGACCTAGCCAGGTTAAAACAAATATTCAAGGAATTGATAATTCCTCAACAATACCACAACCTTATTATTCATTTCAAACACCCTCCGAACAAGATAGGGATGAGACATCACAAACATCACAAAGAATGTCTCCAACCTATTCTCAAATGACAGATTTGCCAGAGTTAAACATTATTGAGAAATTTGATATTGATAAAACCTTCTTAAGAAATGATTTTTATTCAAAAGATAATCAAGAATTAAGAGAAACATTCTTCAAAATCTTTAATAAAAAAGAAAGAGATCTAATTCAACAAAATTATTGCAACTTTATGAAAACACACCATCCNTTAAAACCTACGTCCTCGGGCGCTGCAAAAGAAAACTCCAGTATCTCCAAAACATTACAAACTTTTGGGCAATACAACAAATACCCAAAACAAAGGGGAGATACAACAAAACTTACAAACTAAAGGGTCCTTAAAGAAAGAACCCTAAACAAAAGAAGTATGATGGAATTACAACTTGGGATACAATTAACATTGATTTAGGTCCTTATATATATGCTCCAAAAGTTTCCCACTTTTCATTCCTTTTCAATGTGGGACAAACTAACTCATTTTGGCCTATTACATATAAGTCCCTAAACCTTTCTCCATTATCATTTCTACCCCATATGATTTTGCTAAAAGCCATTTTTTCAACACTGTAGTGCACTGAACTAGAGCATATAAGGTATCCATATCTGTAAAGGACACATTTCCAGTAACATACATCTGTGTTGAAGGATCAAAAGCTGCTTCCTCGGTGAGAGTTCTTAGAATACTCTTCATAGCAGATCTATATCTTTCTGGTTCCGATATATTTAAGGGGTTGTGTTGGTTGAAGTTTCCTGTAACGTCCAATCTGCCTAAGAAATTTTCATTAGAGTAACGCAATTGACAGCTTTCTTCCCACAGAACCGCTTCGGTTTTCCCTGGACAAAGCTTGACAACATCTTCTGCCGCAACTTTTATGCAGTTAATGCAAGCATAGTTTTGAACATAGTTGAGGCACATGTACTGTCCATAAACTCTATCCGAGTTATTTCCATAAGAGGTATTGAATAACTTTGCGACGGAAGCGTTTGCAGTAAAGGAGTTGAAGAGATTTTTGCGGTTATATTCGAATGGACTATTAGCTGAATAATTTGTAGTTTTTGGACAAAGGTGATAGGGAGGATCAGTACGAACAAGATCATAAAAAGTGGCTATGAGAGAATAATAAAAAAGTAGTTGAATAGTTCTTATAAAGCTTAAGAAATGAACCATTTCTTGCCTCTTGAAATGCTTGCACAATAATGCTAATGAATTATCTATATTTTGCAGCTAAATATGTGTAATACTTCTTAGAACGAAACCTTTAACCTTAAGCAAACCATTTATTAGTTCATTGATATTTTTCTTGAAGTTTTAGGGAAAAATCATCGCAATGATTTTTCCAAAGGTCTTATTCATAAACCACTGTGGAAAAGTCAGATGTTGTGGAAAAGCATCAGCTTCTAGAGTTTGAGTGGGCATTGGACTACCATTCTAATCCAAATGACGTATGATAAAATTAAACGTGACCCATTAATATATGTCATTAAATTATATTTGGCTCATTAATATATAAATAATATTATTATGGTTTAATAATAAATTAAAGATTATCCAATTATTTATTTAAGAGTTACACACGATAGAACGTATATTTGAGAGAAATTTATTTTCTAGAAACTTGATCCTCTCTCTACCTATTAAAGAAAGTCAAAACTTACTTTCTCCGTCAATTTTAGAAAAACAAAATTTTGAAAAATTAAAGATAGAAAAGGAGAGAGAAACCAATGTTCTTAATCACAAAAATCATCATCAACTATTATCATGGCTCAAGGTATGTCTTTTCTAATTAACAGAACTTATTATTGTTTTATAACATGTAAAATTCTTGAAATTCAAAGATTTTGCAATTTAATGTTTCATATAAACTTATTTACACGTGGTATCTGTTAGGGCCAAAAATCGTCCTTGGCCCAAATAGGAAAACGGGCTTGACAGTGAGAAAGAGACCAAGCCCAAAGCGACCCAATCCGGACTAGGCCCATTTGATAGGAGACACAGTCAGCCCAAACTATCTAGGCACGAGCCTCCCAATCCCAGCTCATTTTTTGGACCTATACGTGAGTTTAGAGCCCCCGGCCCCCACATATCACTTTCCCATTCCTGATCAATCTCCTATTCAAGGTCACCTTCCTGTTCCGATCACTTTCCTACTTGAAGTTACTCTCTTGTTCGGGATCACCTTCCTATCCGAACACTGGTAAGACAACTCACCACCGCCCTAACTCCTCTAGGGCTTGTATTAGAATCACACTAGGACTCCTACTCCTACCAGGATTGGGAGACCAGATAGTCACTATATAAGCAGAGGCCAGCCCTCTCACAATAGAGATTACATTACACCTTCACACCCGAAGCTCTGACTTGAGAGCTTTACATCACTGTCGTAGTCACAGTCCCAGACTAGACTTCCGATAACCTCTCTACTCCCTAGCCCTCACTATATTAGCCTCTTTCAGCCTTGCTGACTTAAGCATCGGAGTGCCTACGGCAAACACCACCCTGGTGTTTTCTGTTTGTTTCACGCACTTGTTTCTCTACGTGTGCAGGTGCAGCAGATTGCTAGTGGCCTCAACCTCACGGGATTAGACCCCCTTTCCGTACAGGTAGATTTTTACATTTATAGTTTGGTGCCTACCGTGGGGCCTCTAGCAATCATTTGGCTCAACGAACTTTGCTACGTAGAGGAACATTCCATGGCTAACAATTGGAACAACGTTAACCCTGGCCTCGAGGCCAGACTAGAGGCTCTGACTGCTCTCATGCAACAAAATTCAGACAAGGTGGCCGCACTGGAAGCCGAGAATAATGTAATCTGGACCGAAAACGTATCCATCAGGGCAGAAAACCAGTCTCTTAAAGAGAAGGTGAGTCAATTCTATGATCTAGAGTTTTTGCCTGGCCAGTTACCTCCCAATCGGTTCCGCACCCTTGTTCCGTCCATGCAACCTCTCCATACACCAGAGCACCGACCCTCAGTCTCAAGTAAAAGGCCGCGTCCATTAAGCTCATCGGTGGCCGACGATTCTATCCTAATATATGGAGATAAAGATATGCCAATAGAACACCATTCAGCTGATCCATCCCAGCCTCGAGATCAAGACGATCCAGTGACAGAAAGCCCGCACCCTCAAAACTAGCCTATTCTCATCGTCCCACCTTACCTCCAGTCAACCATCCCAACACAAACCCTATTCGGCTCGGCTCGGCTCGGCTCACCTTCACGGGTTAAACGGCTAAACCAAACAAACCATAGCACTCGAGCCCATCCATCCTGATGATCCGAGTGACTATCAGACGACTATCTTGGCCATTCATGTAGGGCGAAAAACCAGAACAGTCACCATGGGAGTCATCCAATCGGAAGGAATGAACGAAGATCCATGCTACTAAGGGAGTGCAAGAGGTACTGGCGAAGAGGCTAGCCAATGTGGAGGCAGTGATGAGACGCATCCTAGGAATGCCAGTCCCAACCAAGAAGAGCAAGCCCCACTGCTAGGTGGATTCACCCTTTGTGGATGAGATCGCCCTAGCCGACATGCCCCAGAAGTTTACCATCCCCAACATGAAATTGTACGACGGTACAACCGAGCTGGACGATCACATAGCCTTGTACAAGCAGCGGATGTTCACTGTCTCAATACCCTGACCGCTGAGGGAAGCCTGCATGTGCAAAAGTTTAGGTTCGAGCTTATCCGGCCCGGCACTCTAATGGTACACGAATCTCCCGAACAGATCCATCGAATCATTCGCTCAACTTATTGACACCTTTGTAGAACCGTTCGCCAGCAGCAAGAAACCCGAGAAGCTGTTGGCCGACCTATACAGAGTATACCAGAGAAGGGGAGAGCCACTAAGAAAGTATGTCAGTAGGTTCAACAAAGAGAAGATCTCCATCCCTTCATGTAACCCTAAGACAGCCGTGGACGCCTTCAGGAAGGGTCTCCTCCCAGACGGAGAACTATACAAAGAACTTACAAAGCTGGGTTGCACCACAATGGAAGACGCCCTGGCCCGAGCAATGTTCCAAATAAGATGGGAGGAAAATGAGATAAACCGAGCAATTCACTCCAGATACGACTCGAGGCAGAATGACAGGAAGCCAGAGCACAGACCAGTGGAGCACCGCTACCAACCCCCAGCACGTAATACGAGCAGAGTCAGAAAACTGTATGATCGCTAGCCAATGAGAACCGAGAATAGACAATTCGGATCGAACCGGTACAAAATATCGGAGTACAACCTCAACGTCGAACCGACCCAGGTCGTCGCGATTATGAAAAGAATGGGATCCACCATTAAGTGGTCAGGTAAGCTCAATCCCGAGGTAAGGAGAGACACGACTAAGTGGTGCAAGTTTCACGGCAACTATGGACACAACACCGCAGACTACATCGCCTTGCGGCTAGAGGTCGAGCACTTCTGAAGAGGGGACATCTCCGAGATCTACTAACAGATAAGGGGAAGAACACCATTAGCCAGAGAAGCTCAAAAGAACCATCACTACCTCCGCGGGAACCCACATCGAAAGGGCTTTGTTCGCTCATCTCCGGTGGAACAGATATCAGTGGGGTAAGTTACTCATCAGCCAAGCGATATGCCAGAGCCAACCACCACCATGAAGTCCAGTTTGTCCATCCGGTCTCACAGCCACACACCCATCAGGTAATTCAGTTTGAAGATGACGAGCCGGTCACCTTGGCCGCTCCTCATCACAATGCTCTAGTCGTCTCCCTATAGATCACCAACATCCTAGTGAAGAGAGTATTCGTAGATAGAGGCTCTTCAGCAAACATCCTGTTTCTAGAAGCAGTGAAGGCTATGGGACTAGAAGAAGCAAACATCAATAGGCGACCGACACTGCTGGTTGGGTTCAGCTCTGAGCAGAAGTACACTATCGAGGAGATCATCCTCCCTATCTACGCCGGTGGAGTGAACAAACGAACCGTCTTTCTAGTAATCGACTGCCCCTCACCCTACTATGTCATCTTGGGCCGACCCTGGATCCACGACATGCAAGCAGTCCCATCTACTTTATACCAGACAATCAGGTTTCCTACCAAATGGGGGGTTCGAGAGATCAAGGGTGGCCCCAAAGCTTCTAGAGATTGCTACAAGAACGCCTTCAAGGGCAAGGGTAACTCTTCATAGCAATTATAGACTCATCCAACCCTTCCGATCAAGCCGGATCAACCATCTATGGAAGAGTTGGATAAAGTACAGATACATCCGGATGACCCTGAGAGAAAGACACACATAGGGTCCCGCCTCAAGCCCGAGACAAGAGAGAAGCTGGTAGAATTCCTCAAACAGAACCAAGACTGTTTCGCTTGGTCCCACGCCGACATGACCGGAATCAGTCTAGACGCAATGGTCCACCAGCTCAAGGTAGATCCAAATCACCCACCAGTGAAGCAGAGAAGAAGGAAATTCGCACCAAAGAGGAACCAGATCATCAATGAAGAGATTGAAAAGCTCCTGAGCAATGGTATGATCAAAGAGGTCCACTACCCCGAATGGCTGACGAACGTCGTGGTCGTATAGAAAAAGAACAAGAAGTGGAGAGTCTGCATCGACTTCACGGACTTGAACAAAGCTTGCCCGAAGGATTCCTTCCCGCTCTCATATATTGACATGATGGTTGATGCTACCGTAAGCCACGAGCTCCTTAGTTTCATGGATGCTTTCTCCGGGTACAACTAGATCTTGATGCACCTGGACAACCAAGAGAAGACAGTCTTCATCATAGAAAGGGGAACCTATTGCTACAAGGTAATACCATTCGGTCTTAAGAACGTCAGGGCCACCTACCAGCAGCTAGTCAACAATATGTTCACCAAGCACCTCAGAGACACCATTGAGGTATACATCGACGACATGCTTGTCAAGTCCCTGATGGCCGAAAAACACTTTGACCGCCTCAACCAAGCATCCGCCGTCCTCAAGAAGTACAACATGAAGCTAAATCTAGCCAAGTGCTCATTTGGTGTCTCATCAGGTAAGTTCTTGGGCTATATGGTGACTCAGCGAGGGATAGAAGCCAACCTTGACCAGATCAGAGCAATCCTCAATATACCATCTCCAACCTGCATCAAAGACGTCCAGCGCCTAGTAGGGCTTGTGGCCACCTTGAGCCGCTTCATCTCTAAATCAGTCGACAAGTGCCATCTCTT